TAAAGAGGTGCGCAAAGTTGGTGGGGTGGCCCGCTCGCTTGTATGGCCCGCTCGCTTGTAAAACACGTTACAGAATTTAGTCCTTCGTCCGGCCGTGACTGCGCATATTTGTGCATCTTTGATAGTCAGGCTGAAAGCCAGAAGTTGTCCAGTGCCTTTGCCTTCTGCGGTATAAACAATTTCGACCCCCTCGCTATCCAATCGCAAGGCTCCCTTAAACGCCAAGCCAATACAATAAATGTAGTTGACATTTCTGGATTTGACGACGAGAATGCCGCCCAGTGAAAACACGATGCAACGGACGATGATTCCTACTCCGGTAGTAACAATTGCGCAGTCAGCTGCAAATTCCGCATGCGGATATTCAGTCGCGATTGAGTGTGTGGAGCCAAGAGGAAAGAGGATGCCAATTTACCAAGAGACGTCACATTAGGCTACACCAGCGAGCGTGCCACGCTGCCCTAATCTGATTGATACTTGACCCTCTTGGATCAGTCGCATGCATATACGAAGCTGAATGTAAGGTAATAATCTAATGGATGCAAAGTGCATGATCGTATCATGTCTCACCGGTATGAGCTAGGTGGCTTAATCGTGCTAGGCTATGTGGTGTCCTCTTACACGCACTACAGCCTTCTGCAATCCTGCCCGTCAGCTCTATAACCTCAAGCACTTAGGCAGCTCTAAGAATTAGGCAGTAGCCGTTGCACATCATTACTGTACACTGTTGACTCTGCATTGTGGCTTCGTCCGGTGAGCTTTATAGCAAGGGTTGCAGATGAGATGGCTGATCACATCAACAACAAGTGGTTCACAGGCGGGAAAGTATGATTGTCAGGTGCTTAGGACGTGCTGATCTTTCTCCTTTAGCGATTCCATCCCAAAGATAAATAGAGCCAACTATTCGTGCACTTCGCAGTCCAGGTTCCATCACTTTTAACACATTTATACCCAACACATTCGAAATACCAAGATTTTGGTAGAGTCTACTACTGTATGTACATTCGTTGGCTAACGCGAGATGGACGCATACTGACTTAACAAGGTCGCACAACATGGCCGAGTGTAGCTCTTGCAACGGCTCTGGAACGTCAAGGTACAAAACGGACTGTGGAAGTTGCGGCGGCAGTGGAAAATCTGTTGGGTCAAGAGCCTATGAGGCTGATGGTGCATCTTGTGGGTCATGTAAAGGTTCGGGCAAGGTATACACCAGCGCTACGTGTGGAAGGTGCAGCGGTACAGGCACAACGGGTTGAAATGACTGGTGGTCCACCTCGACCGTCTCCAAAGCGTTGAGGCATTGATATGAGAAAATGAACTATTGTGCGACACCGGAGCCTCGTCTTTAGGTTAGGCATATACAATCATTAAAAGTGCTGTCGGCCCACTGCTATATATAACAAATCGACCCTTGTGTGTATTTCTGTATTTTTGAAACAAACGGGGAACAGAACCTCCAGATAATGCATAATGGTGCTGTCTTTGGCACAGAAGACGTAATATAAATCGCAGTGAGTCTAAATACTAAAATGGCGAGTCATTTCGGCCTATGTGTTGTCTCTGGAGTAAACACCATATTAGCAATTGGAACCCTTCGGCTCAACAAAGCGGGCATACTCGTACAAATGGCGGGGTGGTTCCTAGACACAATGTCAAGAGGACGTCGATATTCTTGAACATTCACTGTGTGTTTCTCTGCCTACGCTGATTCGTTTTCGTCGTTTCTGTACTTTCGAACTAATGGTCAGGCTGAATCTGTTTTCTAACGTCGATTCGAGTGTGCCAAGACGCACCGTATGAGGGGACAGTTTTCGCTTCGGAGCCTCGCTATCCCTAGTTTGCAAGATTAGAGATCCGCAGTCAGCATATCCATCCTCAAACGTTTTTCCTCTTCAAAGGTATCAACCTCTGGTACGAGTTTTTGCGATGGTGTCCTGGCTATGGATCGTTTTGTTAACGCTATTGGTCTATCTTCCGTTCATGCCCCCTGTCTGCTCGCGATGTAGAATGTCTTTGCAAAGATCAGAAGGTCTTTTAGGAAGCAGAGATGAAAGAAGTTCATCCTGTAACTCAGCGCTCTGCTGAGTTAACGCCGCGGGACAGCCTTGCAGCTGATAAGTATGTTGTGCGCAAGTTCAGCCACGCCTTCCCCGCCTTCAGCCTGATGCAACAACGTCACTACACCGAGAATGCAACAACAAGCGCTGTCTATAGGTCCCATGCTTTTGCAGCTTACGTTCTACTACAAAACTACATATTTTAGTAATCTACTAGCTCTTCATCTTCTCTTCTGTAAACTGTACTGGAAAGGGAGTAAGAAAGGCTATTGCTGTACTCCCATCAGGCTACCGCATCAAGCCTTTTGTTTCTACCACGCGCCCACCCCACGCCCGCACCGAGTCGATGAGTCTCCTAAGGTACTAAGATGGTAGTCACCTAAATATCACCAGCTTCACAGATGGCGCGATACTCCTTATGCAATACTTTCACGCACCTAGGGGGAAAATATGGAGGAAGTTAACTTTCCCATTAATAAAGCTATAAGAGTAGTAGAGATATTGATATTAAAAACAACAGGTTAGCATTTTGATAGATCATATAGTGCTATATGAGCAGAGCTACTATATATACTGATTAACTGTAGTATGTATGTGATAACTAGAGGCTAACATATTCTAACGGGTGAATTGGATTTCTCAAACACGCCAAGTTAATCCCCCGTTCTGATTTTGTAACTTCACCACGCCCACTGGATACTATTTGCATATGGATTTTCGCTATTAACTGCATAACAGCGCAAATTAACATTATGGAATTCTGGCAGCTGGCGGAAACTCTATTTGGTGTACTTAAACCGCCGTAAAGGATGCTGGGGAAAGCTTATGGTCAGACAAGAATTGATTACTGCATTAGGTAAGCGGACGGCGTTCGGCTGCGGTTGTGGAAAACTTTACGTTTTTCATCCTTCCTGTGGCGATTTTCTTCTTTGGTATCTTGGCAATAAATATACGCAGGGCGAAAGCGCAGCCCTATCCGTGCAAAGCAAATATGTTGATGAATGATGTCATCGGTTGGAGAAATACCCGTCCAGGGTCTACTATGGTTGATGGTCGGCGTCGGGGTTTCATGTGCCATGTTGACACTACAACCAAGCGTATCCATGTTTTGTTTCGCGAAAGGACCTGCGCTTCTGGAACCTGCATGTGCCAGCATTTCATCCTGCGCTGTCGTGGCTATCTCACACGGGCGCATCCGCGATACACGCTTGCGCGAAAGGGATCGGCTCAACGCGGCGCCTTCGGTCCTGCTTACGGGTCCTCGTAACCCGCCTCACGCCATTCACAGGCCCGTCTCTCACTCACCGCATACCTCATCTCCATCCTCTGTCCACAGGAGTTCCAGAACGTAGTCTGAATCACGATTGTTGCACAACATGTACTGCTTTGTGCCTCAAGCCCAGACTCTGTAGACCTCTCCGCCCAGCACGGTACTTGGCAGATCGCCACTCAACAGCCCTTGGCACACAAAAGGAACGAGCCTCGTCCGCGTCATCCTTGGGGTTGGCATGCAACTAACCACAATGGCGCAGGGACAAGATTCTATTTTAACTTCTGGCTGCATGTCAGCATAAAGTTCCGACTGTTGTTTGATTCTTGCTCCTTTCTGCACACATCAACGCCGTTCTCTCAAGTCCACATTCCAATATTCATTCAACATATCATACTACCCTTTAATTTCTAAAATATGTGGGCAAAAGCAGCATCACTCTTCGCTCTAGCGGCCACTGCCGTTGCCCAATCCAAGGGCTTCAACTATGGTGCCACCAACGCAGACGGCTCATGCCGCGGGTACGACGACTTCGTCCGCTTCTTCAATGAGGCTAAGTCCCTTCCTGGAACATCTGGCTTCAACACAGCGCGTCTGTACACATCGATTCAATGCGGCAGCCAAACAGAGCCTATCTCAGCCTTCCGCGCAGCCATCGACACTGATACAAGAATCCTTGTAGGTCTCTGGGCTAGTGCCGGACGTGCCGCTTATGAGCGGGAACTCAACGCCCTCCTTCAAGCTGCTAGGGATCTGGGCACTCCTTTCACAGACAGGATTATCGGAATCAGTGTAGGATCTGAGGACCTATACCGCAGCAGCGAGCAGGGAATCAAGAACAAAGCTGGCGTCGGTGCTACCGGAGCTGAGATCGAGGGATACATCGGTTGGCTCCGTGACTGGGTTCGTGGAACCGGACTCGCCAAATGCCCCGTTGGCCACGTCGACACATGGACTGCCTGGACCCTAGCGGAGAACCGTGGCGTTGCCCGCGCTGTGGACTGGCTCGGTCACAACTCTTTCCCCTACTTTGAAAGCGACAGGCCAAACTCCATTGACAATGCACGCGATAACTTCTTCACTTCTGTCGCCCAGACTGCGAGCGTAGCAGACGGAAAGGAAGTCATCATCACCGAGACTGGTTGGCCACGAAGTAAGTTTATCTACGAGTCCAAATGACCTCCAGGCCTATAACAATTGCTAACTCCCTTCACAGTTGGACCCGTCTCTCGTGATGCCATTGCTTCTCTCGACAACATGAAGCGTTACTGGAAGGAAGTCGGTTGCTCCCTCTTCGGTGTCCGCACAACCTTCTGGTACACCCTCAAGGATGCCAATGCTGGCCAGACTGATTTGTCCTTTGCCATTACGCCTCTCCAGAACAACACACCTTACTTTGACCTCACTTGCTAGACACCTAGCACCCAAAAAGCGATATTCACAATGGGATAACTTAATGGTTACTACATCTACTCGTGTATAATATGTAATCCAAAAGTGTAGAAAAATAGTCAAATCATACATCCATTGGATACATGGTCCCGTAATATCAAAAACAAAGATCAAACGATTTCCCAATCCATCTACTCAGCCACATGCCAATACCTAATCAAAGGGGCTGAAACCACCACCCCCACTTTTCCACCTTGACGTTCCTGTAGTAACAAAATGGTACTAAATGCTTGGCTTGGAAATTCAGTAAAATAGGCAATAGTTGAGGTCTATTTAATTCTGGTTGCCCTTATCCCAAATAGGCTCAGCTCCAGGTCCTCCCCGCCCCACCACCCCCTTGCACCACTAGTCTACCACGGATATGCTCGTTTCAGAATTCGAGCTATTTCGTAAATAGCGTTACTCGCTATAGGGGCCAGATTGAGTACATGTATCGTTGGCTTGTTGTGATGGCGAAGGTGTTCAGTGTGAATGTCATAGTGGGAAAAGAGCCAATTGATAGGACTGTGTAGAGAGATGTTATGTGCAGCTGTTGATCTAACAATCTAATCCGTAGAAAATGGTAGTTGCTATTCTATTTTTTTTCAAAAAAAAAGTACATCATTACAAGTAAGTTGATTGTTTACTTGAAAGCGATATGACATGCCCGTACTTGATGACCGTAAAATGTATGGGTGGAGTCGCTTTGTATGTTCGCACACTGCTGCCATAGTCCGCTTGAAAACTAAGGACCAAATCAATTAACGTGGTTCACAAGCGAATCGCTCACCCAAGCGAATCGCTCGCGCCCCACCAGCGCGATAACTTCAACACTATAACGCGTCATGTCTCAAC